GACAAAACAGTTCATCACAGTGTGGAAATGAATAAAAGGTCATATCTCTCAGGTGACATAATCCTGAAGGTTAAAAATCCTAACAAGTCTAGGAAAAAGTCAATAGATCTAAAATATGAGTTAAGCAAGATCATAGGATAAAAGGTCAACATACAAAAAATCTATTGCATTTCTATAGTAACTAACGCTGGGAATGAACATGTAAAAATTCAACTTACAAAAGCATCCAAAAATGTGAAACACTAAGATATCTTTAAGATCTATTTACTTAAAAATACAACAAACAAAAATATGAGAGAAATTAAAGTAATTATATGGAGACTTGGTGTGGCACTGTAGGGTAAGCAGTGTACTAATAAATGCAAGGTTGGTAGGTCAAACCAACAACAGCTCTTGAAAAACCTATACTGGGGCCCTATGAGTCAGAACTGGCTCAACGGCACAGAAAAACAATAATCATATCGTGATGAATTCCATTTTCATAAATTCCCAAACCCTTTGGATTTGATCCATACATCCAATACAATTTCATGAAAATACCCCAGAAGCTTTTTGTTAAAATTGACAAGCAGATTATAAAATGTATATACAAATGTATTAGGCATAAAACGACCAAAACAATTTTTAAAAAGAACAAAGCTGAGGGAGTTACAATACCTTATTCCAAGTTTTACTATTTGGCTACAGTAATAAGACGGTGTGATATTGGCATAATATCATATAGATCGGTAAGCATATGCTGTTGTTATTGTTGCTAAGTGTTATTAAGTCAATTCTAGTGCCAACTCCACTACACATAACCACCAACACCAGTGCTTATCCTAGAGCACCACACCAGGACATTGTTGTTGTTAAGAGACATTGAGTCAGTTCCAACTCATAGTGACCAGGTATAGTGTTTCCAAGGAGCGAATGGTTAGTTTGAACCACTAACCTTGTGGTTCAAAACGACCTTGAGGTCAAGTGCTTTTCCTACAGTGCCATACCAGGGCTCCATATCATAAGCATTGGTGAGCTGTTTTTAATCAGATAATCATATGTTTTACTTTGCCAGGAATGACAAGTTGAAGAGGAACGGCATAGCATTCATCATCATAAAGAACATTTCAGGATCTATGCTGAATTACAATACTATCTATGATAGGATAATATCCATTGGCCTACAAGGAAGACCAGTTAATACACTATTATTCAGATGTATGCACCAGACACTAAAGCCAGTGATAATGAGTTAAAGAATTCTGTCACTGACAAATAGCTTACAGAGGTTCAAGCTGGATGTAGATGAGGACACAGAACGAGGGACATCATTGCAGACATCCATGGATCTTGGTTAAAAGCAAAAAATACCAAAAAGATATTTGCTAGTGTTTATTGACTATGCAGTGTCTTTCA